GAATTTTAAGAAGGAACAATAGCGTGATAGCCTCGTCCATTCCAATAATAAAATATCTGATAAAGGATCCTAGATTATAAACTATTTTTCCCCTCTTACATCAATTTTAAGTTCACTTGGAACAGTATGCCTCTCTGATAAAAGTTATGAGTTGAAACTGAGTGACCTGTCTCACTTTTGGCTGTCTACTGAAACCTAGTTTTAAGTCTCTAGAATAAGGCAAGATTAAAATCTAAATTATCAGTCTCCCTGCATTGTACTGCTGGTTCATTTATTCTTGTCAATAGCATGCATCGCGAGTGCCCAATATGGCATTCCAGAAGAGCAGGGAGGACAACAGATATGTACCGAGGGCGATTTCACAATTTGGGAAACGGCAGGAGATCTGGATTTGAGGCTGTAAGATACATCAGTGTTTCTGTTACAGAGCAAATCAATTTAGTAAGTGGATTTTGAGGAACATCTCTTTTTAGTGTCGTAATGAAAATAAAGATTAACAATAAGAGTGTGTGTCGGGGGGCAGGTATGAACGACCTCAGCCAGCACTACGGCGCAGCTGTCAAGGGCACGCATTCTGCAGCCAAACCACTCGGGTTCGAAACCCGCCTTGTTCATTTACCAGCCGTGAGACTTAACCTACTTGTGCACCATTTTCCTTATTAGTGAGAAAATGGAGATAAGAGTGCTGACATATAGGATTGTTGTGAAGACCAAATGGGAACTTCTTTTCCAAAGAAGAGTTGGAAAACTCTTTGTTGGAAAGAGAACTGTGACTTCGAAAGTCAATCTTCTTGTTTTACATGCATTCCACTAACTAGAAAAAGTCACAGTCTTTTTCAGTCCAATAGGTATTGGATGTCTTGATATATGTTTATCTTGCAAGTACTCAGGGCAGCTCACAGTAAGTAGTAATAAAATTTAGCACAGAGGTTAAAATTACAATTCTTTGAAACTTGAATAGGAGGTGGAAATAATCTCAAATTTAAACATATCATGATGCCTATGTACTTAGGAAGCATTAAGAAAGAAGTTAATGGACTCAGTCTCCTAAATACAGAAATAAAGTACAGTCCTTGGATCTTAATTCTTGGTACAAGGTTAATTTATAACAGCTTACCAAGAAATTATTGATAAGAAGGTAGAGTTCAAATGTCCAAAATGCTAGTACTTCTAGAAAATTATTTTTCAAATGAAAAAAGTAGCCCTTGAATAAGAACTGGTAAACTTTTATTTCACCAAAATAAGATTTTCAATTACTCAAAAAAGTGATGCCAAATATCTCAAAAGAGAGGTTTTATCCTCAAAGGATAAAATAGGAGTATAGAGAGCATATCGGGAATATAAAATTTTGCTAACAGAAAAGCAGTGCACATTTCCTATGAATCTTTGTTTTGCAGTTTTCAACTTTGGCAAAATTCCAATTAAATTTGGAATTTAAAATGGTCAGACTCTTACTAGTTTAAGCCAATTCCCCAGAGAAATCAACCATAGAAATGATGTACATTTTTAGCTATATAAAAATAAAGATATACCTTGACCCCCCACTCAAGAAAAAAAAAATCAGAACACAAAGACAAAATGGACTTGGATTTTTAATTTTTTTAAAGATATCTCTGTCTATATATATATATTAATAAAAAGTGCAAAGAATAGACCTTCATGTTTAAATTATATTCTAAAATAAAATATATATTTCCATTAACTGCAGGAGACAACTGGCAAGTAAAGAGCCTGAGAGAGTCCAGTCCCTCTCCGTCACTACAAAGGAGATATATTTTAAGGAAGCACCTATGAAAAATAGTAGAGTGTTCACAACACATCTGGTAACACAGATAGCTTCTGCGTGTTCTTGAAAGCAGTTTGTTTGCATTTTCAATCTAACATGAAATGAAGGGAAAAATCAAATTCATAAACGGAAATGACATTACTCAGAACAATCTAGTATTCTGTATTCATGTCTTAGATGCCCCAGAGCCTAGCGTTTCCCATGTAGCAAGCCACACTCGCATGTGCATTAGCGAAAAGCTATCAGCAGCGTGCCTCGAATGGAAAGCAGCTCTTTGTGCAACAAGTGTTCTCTGCTCCTAACACTGCTGGTTTAGCAACATAGCTGAAACATCTGGTTAGAATTGAATTTTTGTCTTTTTTAGAAGAAGATAAAAATTTTTTAAAACATAGCATTGTAGCATTCAACCCTGTTATACATAGCTCAAGTTATGTCTTGGGCTTAATTTTCACCAAAAGGTCTTGAAACACAAGGGGCATATACTATCTGCTGCTTTCTTATGTATTTATGGCAATGGTGGCAAAAGGTTGCAGAAACAACAGAAACTTTAAGTTAAAGAAGACACATGACTCTGGACTTTTTTTTTCTTACAGCAATGTGGGATATTTCAGCAATCCAAATTCAAAAATTGATTTCTACTGTGGCTTCAGCAGCTATGCACCCACATATAGAAAGGATCCCTCAGTTTTGATCTGGCTTTCTTGTTTCCTTTTTCATAATGGGGAAAAACTTTTATTTTAGAAAAGATATGTTCTATACACTGTGCCTGTAGCAACGTATCTGTAATACTGGCTATGACAGCATTTTGCCTCATAAATGTCAATAATATGCTCTTACTGAATCTGAACAAAGTCAGTATTAAAACACAGATAAGCTGCAGACAATCAATTATGCATAACTGGCAGACTCAAAGGTCCACAGTCTCTTCTCTCCTTCTTTTAGGCCTGTTATAAAAATAATTTTGGTTACAACTGTCTACGCAGCACCAATTTTATTTCAAAAGCAGCATCTTTACTCAGCCACCCAAATGAATCTATAAGTATACATGCTCAAATAGCTTTTCTCATTTACTTCTGTTTTGTAACTCTAAAAGACCAGTAATTGTATTATTTTCTTAATCAAAAATTATTCAGCAATTATTAAAACCATCAATTACAAGGTCCTAAAAATATCAACATCTGCTGAATTAAATGAGAAGTTCCCTTTACATGCAACTGTATAATAAAAGAATTATGCCTGCAGTTGATAAACACTGTGTTCTGTAATAACAGAAGAAACAAGTCTCTAATAGTAAAAAAGCATTTCATAAAACTTTGTTATATATAAAATATCTTATTAATTGTGACCATTCCACTTATGATTAAAGCCTAACATAAGTGTTTGCTCTGCCTTCTGCTGTGGGACAGTTCTGGGTCATACAACTTCAAAAAATAAAGAGTGCATCTGTTTCCCAGGCTGACAAAAGCAACAGGCTCAATTACACTGTTTCTCTCTCAAACTCGCCTGCACTCATGCGTACATACACAAAGCACCCACAGTTTTAATCTTCATGACATTGTTGCCACACTTTTTTCCTACTTCCAAAAATCTGTCAGGAAAACGTGTTCACAAAATAATTATTCTTGTCTATGCCCAGCCTGGATCTCCACTGCTCATTTTTATGATTTTGTAAAATGAAGTCTGCAGCAGCAGGAGCATAGGCCTCATTCATCTTTCTCAAACCCTTTGGTTTCCACCTGTAATGTTATATTGACTGTAGATTTGACTCAGTGGGCCTGGGTCAAAGGCTTTACAGATCCTGAACCTGAAGTGCATTAAGAGAATAAACATCTGCCGCATGGCATAGGAAAATTTTAAAAGTAGCAATAATAAACACAACATCCCATATGCAAAGAATTTACAAGAGTCATTTAAAAATTTCATAAAAAAATTAAATTTGTAGGAGGGGTGGAATCATGTAGCAAAGGTCAAAAGGTAAAATGCAATCAGATAATAACTGCATTCTTTGAAAAATACTTCGCTTGCACAACTTGTGCTCCAGTTATGCTAAGTATTTCTCAAGTCTCCCATCTGTAAACATGGTGGACCAAGAGAGATACATATTAAAGAAAGGGATGACATTTGATTAACAAATAAAAAGATTTTAGAGCAGGTAAGGAACTAGCTTTTAAAGAAAAGTGCTTTAAATGCGCTTCAGCAAAAAAATATGAATTGGAGGCAATTCTGAAGTTTTGACACTTATACTTTACTCAGAGATTAGGCAGAGTTTCTTCTGTAGGAGCAACTAAATTGATATGTGAAACAAAAAAGAAATGCTCAATTATGACATCACAAATTCCCAGGGAATATCTGGGAATCAAAGCTCTCTTTGATTAAAGTTTCCCACTTTGAATGCAAAGTGCAAGAGCAAGGGCTTCAAACGGACGACACAGGCAGAAAAGTCACAGAGCTCCTTCCCCCATGTTTCCCACTTCATTCCCTCACACGCACCACAGATAGTTTATTAGCTAATTCTCAGTTCTCCTGGCACACGCATCCAGTATGCTGTTGGATTCTTTATAAAGTCAGGCCTCTATTCCCAACAGTTAAAAGTATGAAAAAGAAAGATACGAGGAAATACATTCAATAGGCAAAAAAAAAGAACTCTGGACTCTGACATATTTCATGTTATGGAAGTAATGGCCGATATAACGTATGAGGGACATTAAAAGTGAGTTAGTGGCCGGGCGCGGTGGCTCACGCCTGTAATCCTAGCTCTCTGGGAGGCCGAGACGGGCGGATTGTTTGAGCCCAGGAGTTCGAAACCAGCCTGAGCAAGAGCGAGATTCCATCTCTACTAAAATTAGAAAGAAATTAATTGGACAACTAAAAATACATAGAAAAAAATTAGCCGGGCATGGTCGTGCATGCCTGTAGTCCCAGCTACTCGGGAGGCTGAGGCAGAAGGATTGCTTGAGCCCAGGAGTTTGAGGTTGCTGTGAACTAGGATGACGCCACGGCACTCTAGCCCGGGCAGCACAGTGAGACTCTGTCTCAAAAAAAAAAAAAAAAAAAGTGAGTTAGTAACATACAAAGAGATCAGACTGCTCTGCCTGTGCTTCCAGAATAACAGCAAGTTTTCCTGGAGTTTTAACTCTTCATCTATTCCTCTTTCAAGATTCTAATAGGTTCTTACTGAGTACCTGAGATCAGAAACATGTTGAAAAATATTTAGAACACTTTAAATTATTTCAAAAGGGAGAAATGAGAACCCAAAAAATCACCCAAGTTGAGAAATAAGAAGTTAATTATAAACAGAATAAAACTATTGGGTAAACATGTGCAGATGCAGGTCAAAATGCAAAACTGAACCAGAAGAGGAGAGGAGGGAGAGGGGGATAAAGGAAGAACTGGGAGAGAGAAGTGCTGGCCCTTCCTGTGAAGATTCCTTGCTTCCTGATTTAAATACTACATGATACCCTTCTGAGGGGCTTCTGTTCATGCGATCTTCACAAGTATAATAAATGGTAATGATAACCAAGTGGCAGGCAAACCCCAGTGAACACAGTAAGAAGTCGGTGATTTCTTTGTCATCTTTCCTTAGAGAGGACACATGGACTGGAGATGTGGCCAATTCTGCTGGCTGCGCCGAAGAAATCTATGGTAGAAAATACCAAAAATGGTCCCCTGTCCCTTCTAGGGGAAAAAATATACAAAACCCCTCCAAAACCTAAACAGAACAAAACAAAACAAACAAAAACAATCTTCTCCCTCCTAAAGAAAACCACACTGGAAACAAATGCCCTGCAAGAAGTCCTTATTTGTATGTTTTTACAAGGCTGGTAGAGGTTATTTTGTTTTGGATTCCACATAAATTTTATCTCCATCCCTAATGCCAAAGGAATGCAATGCCCGAGAGCTGTACTTCATTTCCTCTGGGCCAAAGGGTGCTTCATGGTCAAAATAGTAGAGAAGCATGTTGCTTGTTGGTAATTGCACTAGAGTTTTTAATTGTTTCTTTAGTTCTGCAACTGTTTGGTCCAGACGGATGCTCATTTCTTCCACCTGATCGTTAAAGTGGACTTCTACTTTTGCACTGCTCTGGGGTCTTAGGTCCACTTCTGCCAAAGGCTCCAACTTCCCATATTTTGTGATCAGTTCATGATACCTAGAAGGATAAAAAAAACAGTATCAGCTTAAACTACTAGCACATAAACTATGGACTTCTTCCAGACTACAGGAAAACTACACTGTTACTCTCAACATCTTTCTATTATCTTATTCTAATATCACATCTATCTATCAATCAATCAATCAGATGACTCTTATGGATTCTGTGACCTAATACAGTTGCCCTGTTGAGGCCACAGTAAAACCATCTCACAGTACTTAGGGGAAGTATTTCTCCTAAAGATGGTCACCATGTCTGCTATCAATCATTAATCGTAAGAATAGACTTAGAAAGAAAAGAGGAACCTAGAAAAGTAGACACTACAAAGGTAACAGAAAGAAGCTCAGTCTCTCTGTAGAACTTGCTTTCTTGGGTGTCATCATCAAGAAGACATATCTAAGCCCATGTCCCTTGGGAATAGATGGAAGATGGAAGGAGGCCAGCAGTTTCTGAGGCCGGGAGAATCCATAACTTATAAACAAAAACACGTAGTTGTGTGTTAGCAATTAACCTAGCTCTTTCAGTGATCACCAGCAGCAACTAACAAAAGAAGAGAGGTCACAACCTCATTGCCATAACCGTTTAAAGGGAACCGAAAGCTCTGTACTACATGGTTTAGTTAAGCAAGAATCCTAACCCAATGCCTAGAAACCATTATGGAGAAAGAAGGTAAGGAGACAAAATCCTGAGCATACTAATATAATACTTCCTAATCTAGACAAAAGTGGACCCAGTGGGTAATGAGTCAGCTGGGTTGAGGAAAACCCTGGCTGAAGGAAAACAATGTTGAAGAAAAACCCTAGGGACTAGAAGCCTCTGTATTCCACTACCAGGATGTCAGGATTTTAGCAAAGGCAAACAAAACAAAACAAAGTGGAACAAAAAAGCCCAAATAAAGAAAAAACAAAACTCCTGGGACTTGAAATTTTCTAAAGGTCCAAACTAAAAATGTGAAATGATTCCAAGTCTAAGGGTATCTTTTCCCCAGCCCATCTAGTATGTACCTTCAAATAAGTGAGGCTAGGTTAGGGCAACTTAACAAAATTTCAGACAAGACAGCAGAACACAGGTGCTCAAATAAGAACTGAACCCAACTCCAGAGATACTTTCCCTTCAGACTACAGAAAAGCAGAACTGTAATACCCTACCTCTCAAACTTCGCATAGGAGTGACAAAAGCAACAATGGCAAAGGGGTCAAAGAGAGTTTACTCATACTGTGTTTCAGCAAAGAGATGGCATGGAGAGTGGTGCCCACTTTCAAGCATGAGCAAGAAGAGAAGACACAACTGAGCACGTGGTGGACGAAGCACACGCCACAACAAAAAGAGGAAAGGAAAGGAACACGTAAGTAAGTAAAAGGCAGAGGCAGAACTCGACCTGAAAGAAAACAGAAGTAAAGGAAAAGAAAATGCCCCACAAAGACTCAAAAGTCTAGAAATTCTTAAGTACATGAATATAAAAAAACAAGAGCTCAAAGACAAATTGTAAACCATGGAATGAGATGAAAATAGAGATTGCAGAGCTAATGAAACAAACTGAGGAAGAAAACAACACTGTTACTGACCAAATAAATAAATAAATTAGAAATGATGCCCCAAGAGTATTATACCTAGCCAAGTGCTACGGTTTGAATGTGCCCCTCAGAACTCATGTGTTTAAAACTTAATCTGCAATGCAATGTGTTGAGAGGCAGGATCTTTAAGAGGTGACTAAAGGGAGTGGGTTAGTTTTCATGGGAGTGGGTTCCTGATGAAAGAGTTTGGTTCTCTCTTGCTTTCTCGTGCTTTCTTGCCCTTCTGCCTTCTGCCACGGGATGATGCAGCAGGAAGGCCCTAGTCAGCTGCTGGCAACTTGATATTGGATTTCCCAGCATGCAGAACTGTGAGAAATGAATTTCTTTTCTTTATAAATTACTGAGTCTGTAGTATTCTGTTATAGCAATACAAAATGGACTAAGACACCAAGTTTTGTTCAGAAATAAATTTAACAAGTAGATACTCTAAAACAAGAAAGAACTTAAAGAAGAGGGTACCCTTGAGTCCTTTTGGGAAAAAAAATCAAAAAGCAAAAAAGACTGCTCAACAATGAGATTAAAGAACTAGTGGTAAGCCCTGAATCAATTCAAATATAAAACTAAAACTTATAATAATAATTGTATACCTGTAGACTCATTCATACTTGATACTGTATCCAACTTTATTAATCTTAACCATAAACATATTTGTACACAAAATTGTGACTTACATTCAGAAATTAGCCTTCTATAAATGGGCAAGTATATCTATAAATTAAATGACTTATAAATTGGGACACCCTGACGTCCTACAGTTTTCTCAAAATCAACATATTCAGAAATAACTAATTGCCACTCCCCAACCATGTTCTCTTCCAGTCCTTCACATCTCAGTAAACTGCATAGGAACTACCGGATTATCCTAGCTAGAAACTGGACAGTCATGCCTATTCTTTCTGCTCCCACCTCTCTTCTCTGCTTCTCTTGTTCAATTTCCATGTCCAGCTAATTCTCTTCCAATGAATCTCATGAATCTATCTGTATTTCTCTTACCCACTTGCCTTGTAAGTTTTAGCCACTATTATTAATAACCTAGATTGCCACTGTTTCCTGTGGATGCATAAACTAGATGAGCTTTCTCAATATCTGTTCCAATCTTCTCCTGGTAGGCCTTCCTGTACTTCAAAGATTGGAAAGCTGAAAAATATATTTCCCACACTCTATCAATCACAGTCAGCCTTGGGGACAGAGGTAGTGGGTCGAAGAGACATAGTGTGGGAACTGTTTGGGTAGAGGCCTCGTAATGACCAGAATACAGTTTAAGCAGTGTGTTCCAGAGTCAACAGCCCTGGAAGAAGCTGGCTAATGATCTCTAGATACAGCTAAGGTGGTGTGATCAGCACCAGGGATAGCGGCTTGCTGCTCTTCCCTTTACCTGATTCTGACAGAGGTAGCAGTGCCCTTGGTGGGTTAGTTCTGTGGTACTATTCTAGAGGCAATTCTAGGGAGGCAGTTTAAGTATTGCTCCTCCAGCCTTTCCAAAGATTTTGTAAGCACTTTATTCACTGTATGAAATCCCTTTCTTCTTAAAATAGATAATGGCTTTCCATGACTTCAGAGTGGCCCCAAGATAATACTTGTCTACATTGTAGCCAAAGTGATTGTTATCAAACACAAATTTGATGATATCACTCTTTTACTTAAAATCACACAATGTCCATAAGAATAAGTCCTAACTCTTCAACATGATCGTGGCACACAGAATTTTGGCCTCCATATCCGGGTAGGCTTGATCTAATCACACGAGCCCTCAGAAACAGAGAAGTTTCTCCAGTTAGTAGCAGAAGTCAGAGGGAGTCAAAGTACAAGAACTTGACATATCATTTCTGGCTTAAAGATGGAGGGGACCACACGAAAAGTGTAAGAAGGAAGAGAATTCAGCCACCATCCTGAGTGAACCTGCAATGTGGTTCTTCTCCAGAGCTTCCAACAAAGAAAACAGCCCTGTGGACACCTCGATTTTGGTCTTGTGAGACCCTAACCAGAGAACTCAACTGCGTCACACTGTGCCCAGACTTCTTACCCACAGAAACCATGACATATTAAGTAGGTATTATTTTAAACCTCTGAGTTTACAGAAATTTATTATAGTAGCAATAGAAAACTAATACAATGAATATAAAAGGCCCATCATGATCTGGTTCCTTCATAACTTTCCAACCTTATTTTGTGCCATCACCATTACCATTTTCTGCACCTTCCTTTTCACTTGTTTAAATCTCAAAATCAATGTTTATGTATTAATTTACTCATAATGCCAGCAGATTTTTGTATATAGCTTAGATTTTGGATGTGAACTCTAACAAATATTCACTATGAAATACAAAAGAAGAAAGAGTATTAGAGTTGTGATTCACTATACACACTGAATATGCTCCCTGAAAAGTTAGATAAATAAAAATCATGATTTGAAGGTAATCTGTTTACTCTCGATTTTTTAATTTTCTCACTTATCTTTACGCAGGAAAAAATCAGTAAACATAAGAAATCATGACTTTACAAAATCATGTAAATTTTAGAAACCAATTTCTTCCTAGTCTTCCAGCTTAGGTATTTTATTCATTATTCAAAAGTCCATCCAAACTGAACTATACCACATACTTTGTATTATCTGAGTGTTTTCTTAGCATCAGTTCCAATGTCTTCCCAAAGCTATAGTATGAAGAGGTATTAATAAATGGTTTCTGATGACTTAAGTATTCTTTAAAACTGAGGATCTCAATTTATATCCTACTTAACAAGTATTTAATATTTATAAGCCTTACTTGTGAAGTGGGCAAAAGGCTATAAACCTATTTTGGAAGATATTATTGACAAGGATTATATTATAATCATCAAATGCTAAAATTTAATATATACTGTATTTCTGTTCAGAAATCCTTTGGTCCATTCCACCGTGACCTTCTAACAGAAAAATGACCAATTACAGGCAAAACAAAATTTACTACAAACGGCATAAAGGCCAGCGTGACATAAAGGCCGGCATACATGGGCCACTGAGAGTGATAAATGGAAACCAAATGCTGGCTGCAACCTTGTGAAGAACACCACCCACAGGCAAACTGTGTTGTGCTATTTTCCCCCCTTCCTATTAAATAAAAACACCCACTGAGAGAAGAGCTTCTTTCAACTTTAAGGGCCTTTGAATCATGAGCAGTTAGACATCAGGCTACCGGTAGAGTAGGGTTGAAAGCGATACTAACAAAGAAAGGAATGGAGAATGGAGCCATCTGCAGTGGAGCTAGGCTAGGTCTACTCCCAGGGCAATCGAGCAAGCCTTCACACGCCAGGGGTCCTGGTCCACGGCACACCTGCCTAATGTGATACAGGATGAGATTTTAGTAGCACGGTGGTCATGTTTAGGAGAGGTACGCCTCTTTCTCCTTACTGCCCATCCTCACTCTTGATTCCCAAGACCTGGGA